CCAAAATGAAATGCCAATGACTATGTTAGGTATGCAGGTTTCCTCTGAAGTGTCTGAGTAGAGGCTGGGAGCCTCAGGGTGGGATCTGAGAGCAATAAAGCTTCCCTCAACTAGCCAGTATAATACTCTGTCTTATACTTGAAACTATTTTCTGGAACTGGGGTATGCCTACTATGTTTTGGGCTCATTCCTAGTGATGGGTGTCTATGCTCTTTTCTTTCAAATATCTCAGTAAGACTCTATTTTCATTGAAAGGGCAATTATATGGTGGGCATTTTATAGAAAAAAGTCAGTGTTTATAACACTTGTTACGGACACTGATCCTTACCCTAAAAGAGCTGATCCTCAGCTGTCTCTTGATAAAGCACCAAATTACCAAAGTCTTCTGACTTGATGGTGGAAACGTTTCCCTTTCTGCTACTGAAGTAATTCTCTTTTACAGGGAAAAACATTTGAGATCTGTGAGCCAACAGAATCTCTAGAGGCTTGATACTGTATGGTGTGGTGATGAAGATCATATGGGGAATAGTAAACCTGAGTCACAGTTTCTGCTCGCAGAATTTTATCCACAATGTTGACTGCACTTTTACAATACCTTCACTGGATAAAAACTCCTTAAATGTAAATGTCATGGTTTGAGCCCAGTGGGCAACTGAGCACCACCAGCCCTCCACTCACCCCTCCGTGCTCAGGAATAGGAAGGAGAAAATAAAGCAAAAGATTCTGGAGGCAGGATAAGGACAGGGAGGGATGACTCACCTGTTATGGTTATGAGCAAGACAGACTTGTTAGGGGAAGAAAAAGAACATCAATTTAATTCAAACACTAAAACCAACAACACTTAACAGACAGAGTAGGGCAGTGAGAAGCATTACCACATCTTAAAAACACCTCCCCCCACTCATCCCTTCTTTCTGGGCTCAGTTTTGTTCCCTATCTCCCTACCTCCTCCACCTCAGCAGCATAGGGGGCAGGGAACGGGGGTTATGGTAAGACCGCTGCTCCTTCTTCCTCAGGGGGAGGACTCCTCACATTATCCTCTGCTCCAGCATAGTATTCCTCTCACAAGAGACAGTCCTCCACAAACTTTCTCTGGCATGAGTCCTTCCCATAGGATGTGTTTTTCCCAAGAAGCTCCAGTGTGGGTCCCCCTGCAATGTGTTGCAGTCTTCCCAGTGCCAAACTACAACAGCAGGGGCTTCTTCCAATAAAGTCCTAGACTTCTTTGGGCATAGTCACCTGCTCTGGCGTGGGGTCCTCCATCTCCTCCATCAGTGAGCTCCATGGTGGCAGGAGGCATCCCTGCCATCTCACCATGGGATACAGGGCGGGGACTCTGCACTGGCGCACCTCACTGCTTCCCCCTCCTTTCTTCCACTGACGTGGAAGTGAGTGTTTGCATAGATGTCTTCCTCACAACTCCTCCTCACAACTCCAACTCCTCCTCCCAGGTTCCCTTTCTTAAATACATTATTGCAGAGGCACAACCACTGTTGCTAATTGGCTCAGTCTCGTTGCAGAGGCAGGTCTGATTTGGAGCTGGTGGAGCTTCGAGAAGCTTCTCACAGGGGGCCAACACTGTTGCCCCCTCCCTCACTACCAAAAACTCTGCCACACAAACCCAACACAGTAAATTAACATCTTAAGTACTAGGCTGTGGAGTCATCTACCCCTTCAGTTCCATTTTACTCCAATTAACGTCGAATCACTTTCTGCAAAGGGTCTTCACCAGAAGGGACAGACAATGCTTCTATCACTCTGGAGGTTGTGGATTTGATGTGAGACTTGATGCCAGATTTTTCATGTGCTCAGTAAGTGCTCTGACCATTTGATAAGAAACATAGATACTACCACTATCACAACCATCTCTAAAAGGAGGTGACTGGATCTGTGACATATGGAGCTCTGGTTCTCGTGCGTGCAGAGTCCATGCTCTCAGTCTGTGCTTGTTGGATGGGCAACTTGGGCAGGGAATCTCCTGTTCCTGTGGGCTGGATTCGGCTCTGCAGTCCTCTGGCTCAGGAGCAGACCTCTGTGCCTTGCAGGAGCTTACAGTCAAACAGAGAAGTGGCTGTTTGGAGGCAACCATGCTGTGGTGGCAGCTAGGTGGGGTTTGATTGGATCACAGTTCTAGAAATATTTAATTGAATCACACAAAGCTTTTCCTTTAGGGTAAGTTCTTAGATATACTGTATTCCTGATCAAAAATTACTATTTGTTGGCCACATGTGTGACAAAACTAGAACTTGGTTTCACTTTGTTATCGCACTCCAATTTGAAAGCAAGCTTTTCCAGTGGGGGTAGGTCTTAGTGATTTGAAACAGGCAGCAGATTTTCTGCTGGTTTTCTCTTTGCTTTTTCTTGCCCTTGCTGTCCTTTTCAAGAAATTGATCTCTCACCATATCTTAATCTTCATAACATTTTATATGAGAGAGAAGCTTGCAGCTGGGCATTTTTCTCCAATGACTCATCAATAAATCATAATGAATAAAATAAGTTTATTTAGCTAATTTCTATCCAGCTGTAAGTTGTTATTAAAATTCAGTTTCCTACCAGTAAGTACTCCTTAGAAATCATATTTTATTCAATCTGTAATTCTATGGAGCTATTAATAGTGATAATATACCTGTGACATTGTAATAGCAAGAGTGAAAATCAAATCAACATTCTGCTGACAGAATAAGAGCAGTAAATGTCAAACTAACGAATATAGAGTGGGCATATATAAATGTCCTAGGAGATTAGAGAGGTTCTTCGCATTTCTCATTTTAAGCATAGATTGTCCTAAGTTTCACCATGTAAAGGAAGTTTACACAGTTCATCTGCCCTGGCTGTAACTTCATCAGAAATCGTTTAAGAAAGGCTTGATATTCTTGCTAAAAATTAATTAATGGTTAATGTCCAGCTTCACAAGAATAAAGTAAGAACTAGGATAGCACAAATATTCCTTTCCATTTCAGCTAGACTCAGAAAGATGGGAACTGAAAAGGTGAGGCTTTTCGCCTCTGTTCCATTCCCACAAACCAAATCCTCAGAGGGAGCTGGATGAGACATTTCACACAGGACACTTCTCCAGGAAGAAAGAGCTGATTGTGACCTGGTGTGCCCAGAGAAAATGTTTGGTGATCTGACTTTGGGTGTGGCTCTGTAGTCCTCACTGAGCAATTATTCTTTAGCAATCTGTGCTTTGAGGGCAGACATGCCATGGTGTGTTCCAGAGCTGACCAGGGCAGGCAGCACACTGGCGTATGTCCCATCTCTCTCAGTGCCCACCCACCCTGCTCCCCTCCCCATGGACACATCAGGGGGAACAGGGCTGGGGATGAAACTTGCACTCAAGTCTTGTGGTACACACCCTGGGTGTACAGCTGGATTCAGGCACTGGGAAGTAACCCTAGACTGAGAACACAGGTATAACCTGTTTGGTTTCCCTTTGTTCTGAAGAGCTGCGTATACACGTTTACTGTCTCAGGTACTTCCTTCACTGGCTTCTCTGATGCGATTTCCTATCATGGTCTGTGCTGCTGTTTGTGTATTTCACTTTTTTGTGCATGTGGTGATTGAAACCATACAGGATGCGATTTGTTCGGAACATTCAAATGGTTACATGTAAAACTGATTTTTTTGAGAACAGTTTCAAAATACGCTGTCTTCTAAAAATATCTTTTATGACATGCTGTCAAAGGTAGTCAAATGATCATATGTGGCTGTCTCATTTATTGGTTTATTTTGATTCAGCTGGAAATAATTTCTGCTCCTTTGAGTAAATACCCAACTTAGATACATGGTATTTTTTGACAAAGGATTCAGATAGGTATTCAACTATGGAAGAAGATGTTGGCTAAAGAAATAAGCATTGATACAACAGAGGACAAAGGAAGAAAACCTTTGCATAAACAAAATATATTATAAAACTTGGCAATATTGTTTTCTGTGGATGTCCCAAGTCAGATGTCCACTGTGCGTTGAATAGATCATCTGAGGCATAATATAGATGCCAAATATGTACTTTAAAGCCTGGTATATCTAAAGCATGCTTGGGTTGAGAGGCTGTAGATTAATGTTTCCTAGCCTGTGGCCTTTAAACTACCACTATTAGTAAAAAATCTGAAAGTGGTCCTCAAATTATGGGAAAAATGTTTGAAGGAAAAGGACAGAATTATGTTGTACTCATGTATGCACTCCTGCAAGGAAACAAAATGGGTGTGAATGGAAGTAAGATACAAACATTTAAAATTATTTGTTTATAATTACAATAATTTTGACTACACTAACCAAGGCCTTTGGATTTTTTTAAAAGAAATGTTAGGTCATCCATTGTTAATAAACAAGTCTAAAGTCAGAGGATTTCCTAGACAATATGCTATTATGACATCTTTAACTAGAACTAGAAGCAAATCCAAATTTAGATTATGTTATTCAAGAAATTGGACAAAATATCCTTTCCAGTCTGAGCAATCTTCTCTGGAGTGAAATGCAACTAAAATTTTTGATCATTTGACCTTCACTTAAAAGGCATGAATAGATGAAACCAGCTTTTGCTTAGGAGCAATTAGTCTTGACCAGCTCAGTAGGGCCTGAGCAAGTGTTCTTTGTATCAGCTGTTGTGCTGAACAAACCAAACCACCCTTTCATCAGAGGAGGTGTTAAAATTTCCCATCTCTCATTCTTCCAGTTCAGTGCTATCCAACAAGTGTAGATAGCTTTCTTTAACATTAATTTTGATACAGTCTTTTAAATGAGTCAAGCAGAAAAAAGTCGGACATTTTTTGTAGATGAGAATGTCTTTCATGAATCTAAATTAAAATCACTTAAACAAATGGATTCTCTATTTTCTGTAGCATTAGTTCAAAGAAAGCACGTGACAGGAATTAGTATTCAGTACACTTTTTATTTTATTGTATAAAAGTAATCACCTTTTAAATACTATCCAAATTAATATTTTAATATTTCTCTGGGATTATACATTTTAAAAGCATAATATAACTCAGTACCTGATACAGAAGAACCCTATTTCCTTTTTTACTAAATTAGTCTGCTGTATAAATTTGTGTCATTTGTAATGCAAGTGGCAGCAATTCTTTTTTTTTTTACAAATAAGACAAATTACAACCAAATACACTCAATATTTTCAGTGCAGGCCACTTACAACTTGAGGAACTTAATCTCCTTGTATTTGTATTTCTTGGTAAGCTCTTTGTAGGAAATAGTTTCTTATGTTAACTGTCATTATGCTTTACTAGATCCCATCAAGGAGAAATATATGACTTAAAATACATAGTTTCAGCTCGATCCTCTGGTGACTTTTGCATATTAAAAGTCCCAGCTGACTGAAATAATATATAAAATTCACTTTATCTATTAAAATTATCAATAATATCTGACTGTTTTCATATTGTACATAGATATGTTTTTCATGCTTTCATGTTCCTTTTTCAACAGTACTTCTTGTGATAATAAGAACTTTATTCTTTTATCATTGTATTTGGGTTTTGCTCAGGTCTGAAACAAATTAATCACTTTGTCATATGAATAAAACTAGCTAGTTTAGCAAGAACTTTACACTAGAGTCAAGTGAGCAGGTACGAAAAGGCTTTAAGTTTGTAAAGAACAGATCAACCTAGACAAAAAACAGATGAAGAGGGAAGGACAGGAGAGATACAGTAAAGGTGTAGTAGGCGAGTCCACCAAACACCTCAGCTGTCTGTTGACCCCAAGAATACAGATGGAGAACAAGACATACTGGGGCGCATAGTGAAAGATCAAGGGTTTTGTAAAACTTTTGGGAAATTAATTTTAATTATTAAAATTGACAACTGCAGTCATAACTGCCATAAGGCAGCCCTCTGAAAATGCAAACTGCTCGCTGTCATATTCAGGAACAGGTTTGGTGACAGAGATAGAAAGGCATTTTCTATAGATCCAGAACTGTGAGTCTGAGCCTTATTTCTGGCATTATTCACTCTGCTAAACTTACATCTGCAGTCCAGGGACTTGGATTATCTCAGTGTAAAGCAGGTCTGTGTGCTGCTTTTGTACTGCTGACTACAGAAACTACTAAAAGATCAACTGGTTATCCCAATAGGCCATCTAATCTCTTGACTTCTTTTGATCAGCCCTACTTTTTCTTTAATCGTCTAAAATATTGTATGTATTTTTTGCTAGTCAGGAATATGTACTTAGCCTTGAGTGACTTTTCTAGTTACCGTGTGGGTTTATGCGTTGGTTTGAGAGAGGTGACAGACCTGACAGTTACAGTAGGAAAAAAATGAGCTTCATCTTGTATGACAAAGTATCAGTATTCTGTAGTTCCCATTGGTTTTGTGTTGCTTACGTGTCCGAAAATTTCCTGGATAAAAAAATCTTTATGAAAAAAACAGGTAGAACTCAATTTTGTAGGTCCATGATGCTGCAGATTATTGTAAAATATTCTCATAATTTCTGCAAGATTCTGGAAATGTAATAGATATTAAAAGAAACAAATGTTTATTATCTAATAATAAATTTGTTGCCTTCTTCTCATGAGACAGTACCATTCTAAAATATGACAGCTGGTTTTGTGAGTTATATATATGTACACTTATTTTTTTCTAGAATTGTAGATCGCTAAAAGTTCTTCCTGACTCTTTTGTCTTCCATTATATTTCTCCCAAAATGTCCATTTTCACTTAAGCTTAAAAACAGCATTAAAAAACCCCCAGGAATTTTTACAGAAAGGTATCACTGGTAGCATTTTTTCATCTGGGATTTTTTTAACCATTTAGTTTATTTATATGATGTATAATTTTTCCATTTCACTTGAAGTTAACATTTTGACACAGCGTTGTGGACAAGAAAAGTGCCAGTCTAATTTATCTAAGTAAAATTGTTTCATTGCCTTTGTAAGGTGGATTTTCAAGTGAGACTGTAATGCTTAAAAAGAAATTTCAGAGTATGACCACTGCCCTTTATTTTAAGGTTTGGGTTTTTAAAAGAAGAAAAATTTTTTTTTTTTTTTACTATTGTATTTATGGATATATCATCTCTCTTTCTCATTATGTCCAGTTATAATATTATTTGCCAGCGTAATTTTTACATCGGCTGAGTTTCTCTGAATGTATTCTCATGTAATTCAACTGGAACAGGTCCATTGATCATTGACAATAACTGTCCCATTTCCTGTTAAATACTTAAGGGTAACCAGGTAAAAAGCAGTGCTGTGTAATTCAGTTTGGGAAATAAAGCAAATTATAAGACTCATTTTGTTTCAAATGCAGATTTCAGTGATTAGTTTTATCAGTGAATATTGAAGAGTCTTGCTGACCCAGTACAATGAAAACATGCTACTCTGGTGCTCTCTTGTCAGTTTAGGGTGTCAGGATAGTGAGCAGAAGACGGATTAGGCTCTCTCCTAGGTTTTACATAGGCTTAACATGGATTGATTTGCATGCCATATTTATCTCTTGCTGATAAGTAATGAATTGGCCCGTGCTGGTATGCCTGGCTCCTTATTTAGATAACTAGTGTGAATTTATATATTGATTTGAACAAAGGAAATCAAAGCTGTAATCGCATGTTCAGTCAGTGGATGATTTACCAGCAGTGTTTCAGTTAAACTGCAAGTAGGAGACTAAGTTATCACAAATCATATGGCTATGGAAATAAGGCAGGTGCTTACCGAAATGTAGCTTTATAGAAGACAGCGTTTAGGAATGGTCTATCCCATTGCATTATGGATTGTATAACCACACATAGTTTAGAAACTCTGAGAGGAAATAAATATGAGAAGCTCAAAAAAAAAGTGTTCAAAGGCATATTTAAGGAATGATCCCTTGAATCAGTTTTCCATGGGACAAGTGGTCATTAACACTTGCCTATTTAATTTTTGTCAAGTCAAAAGGGTTTATTTTAATTATAACCAAACATTGACAGAAATAACACTTCTTAAACACATTAAAAAAAAAAAAAAACAAAAAAAACAGAAAAACAAACAAATGTTGTAATTCTCAGTCTAGTCTGGCTAGCTGGTAAGACAAAAAGCAAAGTGCTATGGAAATTCTCCGGCCTTTTATAGTTATTTGACTTAAAATGAGAGAAAATTGTTTTTTATAAATTGGAAGATGACAAAAATTGCATTAAAGCAAAGCAATCATATTTGTAATTTAACTGTGGTGTAATACGTGTGCGTTCTAATCCTGTCCCTTAACCTTTGTCAGAGCATAACTGAAGGCAGCTTTTTTAAAATGTTAGGAAGAATAAACAATGTGTATATTAACAAGTAAACAGACATTTACTTGGTACAACAGAATGCTTTCACAAAAATAAGTCTTTTATTGTTGCCTTTCTTGATCCCATTCCAGTGCAGAGCATCTCTAACACAAGCACTGAAAGCATCCACAGAGCCACCATTTGCTTGAAAACCTTTTTGTAGTACAACCAAATATAATCAGTATCACTGACAACCCCTAAATATTAATACAAATGTCGCGATCCACAAGCATGGTAAACATAAATGAATGCTCTTCTACATTGCTGAATGTAGTGAAAATTTGTACAGTGCTTTATCTTTGAGTTTTAGTTGCATTTCTTTTTCCCCGCTCTGTGTCAAACTCTTATTGCTGAAGTGATTTGGCTTTCTCAGGAAGAAAACTATTTTCATTTGTATATAGCAGCACTTTTCTTCATAACAAACAAGATGTGACTACTTCCAACAGAAATGTATTTAATGTAACGTGTTGAGCTCATTGAGTATTTTAAGCACATTCCCATCAAAAGAAGATGAAGTACATTTCATAAATCTATCCAGTTCTTCAGAAGACAACTCTTCATTTTTCTTCTTCCAGTTCTGGTCTGGCTTTTTCTGGCTGCCTTGATGCACAGTTGGTCTTGACTCTTTTTCCCTGGAGAAATCAGAACTTCTTCCATTTTTAAAAAAGTGGATGAACTAGATGAGCGATGTCCTGGAATGACTAAAAGTCCTAATCTAGATACCACTGAAAGAAATGGAAATATTTCTTAAAAGGCAGTTACATCATGGCTAATGAGGTAATTCTCAGAGATATAAGAGGTCCCATAAAAAGAAGGAAGCTAGGGGAAAGTAGAGGATGCAGGTAGTTTTCAAGTCCTATGTACTCATCACATTTTGGTTTGCTGTGTGAACTGGGGAAGTTCCCAGTCCCTTATATAGAATTCAGTGGCAGAATACCAAAACTGCTTCAGAAAATGCAGATGGTTTTACTGAGAGCCTCACATCTGGCCCAGCCTTCTAGCCTCTGGTGGCAGCACAAGCTGACATGTGTCACTGATCACAGAGACCTCACACGTGCAAGAGAGGGAGGAAGAAGCCATGGAAATAATGAAGACTTCTCCCTCAATTTCATAAAATATCTTTGCATGGAATATACGTCTTAACTGCAGTGACACTGTATTTTATCCTACCTATAACACCATCACTAATTAAAATTAGGGCAAATTTCTTCCTTTATTCTCAAGTTTAGTGAAGGGAAGAACCAATCCTCTACAGTAACCAGGCTGAAATGTTGTAACAGAAACATCTGTGAGTTTGCAAAACAGGTTTTCAGAGAATCCCAACTCCAGTTCTGCCTGGCTATAGCATGAAGCAAGGTACTCCTTTGTCTTGTTACAGCCTCCCTGTTGAAATTACTGAATTATTCACCTCAGTAAATGTATCAGGAGTAGGCATTTTAGAGACAAACCTGCATATTAACTCATTTAAAATATTTCATTACATGAAAAAACATCTTGGCAAAAATGGATCCAAATTAAAGGAAGGCATATATCCAAGTTCAAAACTAGATAAAAAGGAAAGCAAGGTTTTTAAAAAAATGTTATGTTTTAGCTAACTGTAGGTGTTTTTTTAAAGCCAGAATAAAATTCTGGACTTTATATAATTTGCCTTAGGAAATGTTATTTTCTGTTGATGTATTGCATCCATTGGAGGAACAACTTTAAAGAACATATACGGACAAAAGCTATTTCATTATTATGGCTAAAAGTTTTCTTTTATAAATATTTGTAATTCCAAACCATTTTGGTGCTGATGATGTTGATTGTTTTCTGGGCTGACAGGGGATTATTTTGGAAAGAGAATACTATTATTTAAAAAGTGCTTATTTTACAGCATTAACTTTATCTGTCTAATGGAACATCTGTTTGGTTGGTTGGTTGGGTTTTTTTGTAATTGCAGGTTAAAGGTCCTTAGCATGCTTTTCATTTGTATCTACTTCTTGCTTTGAAGAGAGAAATATAATTTATGGCTTTGTCAAAAATATTTGCTGTATTACAAGCTAAGAAAAGCTACAAGTATTCTGTAAGGAACAGATAGGCTCTCTGCTTCTTTGCAATGAAATATCCAAAATGTTTCAAGTTCTTTATGCTTGTCTGGTTCCCATGTTACTTTTTAATTACTTCTGTTATTTCTTATCTATCAAGATAAATATTTGTGTTTTATTAATGCCCATAGATTGTAGAGTCAATAGGTACCTTGAATAGGTCCTTGATAGTACATCAGTATACAGAAGGTATACATTCTCTTTACAGCAAACACTTACTAAGGTAAAACCTCAAAACCAAGTAACTTGCTTCAGCATTCCTTAGTGAAAGTCTTCATTAGTTAAATGTGCAAGAAAAACGGTCTCTAAAATTGTTGGCTAGTAGCTCTTACTCAGTTTGGAAACACATACCATTAAGGTATTAATTTCTGTATTTCTATGAAGCAACTGTAATATTTTGTCATTTTGCTGTTTAAATGTTGAGATTACAAAAACATCACCATTGTTTGTGGGTTTGTTTTGCTTTTGCAACTGTTGTTGGGAAGTAAATGTTCATTTAATTTGCCTAATTTTATCTTTTTATTGCAACCATCTTCAGAATGGTAGATTTCACTGAAAAATCTCTGCTGTTTTATCATAGACCTGCTGAAATCCTGGTTAGATGAGCCAAACATGCAGTTTTCTGAGATATTAGTGAGTTTATCCAGATGCTTTCTGCTATATTTTTCCATGTTTTAAAACATATTCTCCAGAAGGGCTGAACTAAGTATACTACAGTGGCTTGCTTTCTCTTCTCTTGCAGAAAGTAAAAACAAGTATACTGTAAACACAATTTTCTGGAACGAGCAAGACCACACAACTACTGAATTAAGGAAATATTGTTGCTTTTGATTGAGTAGATAGAAAACTAAAAGTAATATATTTATTCAGTCTGGTATGTTGGTTTATAAAATATATTGGTCTCATCTGGAAACTTTGATACATCTGTATGCATTTTTTTTCTGAAGTAACTTGGTTAGTTCTATGTAAAAGATCATAAATAACAGAAATAATAATTTCAATCAGTAAAGTCACAAAGTTACAAATCATAAAAATATTATCCCCTACAGTAACCGTATATTAATATGTTTAAGAAAACACAGTGTCTCAGTGAAGGTTTTTTTGGCTTGCATCAGATAAAAATTAGTCTGGGAATCATAAGCATCTTTTGGTTTTCAGTAAGTAAAAGCCATTCTGCCCTACTGGAAATATTGCTACATGAGAAGGGGTTTGGCAACACAGCAAGGCAGCTGAAAGAGGTGCCAGAATAGCGAGTGTGGGGAACGACAGGCCTATTTGGCAAAATATTTAGAAAGTGGGTATAGAAAACGGTATTAATTCACTTCAAATTCATGTTGAACCTACTCGTTAGTGGCAATAACTACTTAAGAGATTAAAATCAGTAAGGAGTTTGTATTTCTTGCTTGTTGCAAAGATTGCTTTTCTTATGCAGTGTTTATTAGGCCATTTTTAAATTTGTTTACTTGAGCCCTCCTCTTAAAAGAAAAATAAAAAATCCAGTCCTCACCATTCCTACCTCCTCACACTTTTAAATGAAGGGGTGAGTGTCTTCTGAGATATTAATAATTTTGCACATTAAGACTATTTCCCATGTCTCTGAATTTTCTCTCTTCTCTCTCCCTGTGTCTTCCTGAGAAACGTTGTTTTAAAAGAGAACTGATTCTTAAGCAAACCGTGAACAGGATTTGATGATACACTGATCTTGCACATTTTCTATTTGAATAGGTTTTCATGAAAGATAAGAAAAATAGTATCAAAAGCTAAATTGATAGCTAGGGGAAAGCAACAGAACAAATGACATTGCTTCAGAACACCTTCCAGTTCTGTACCTACAGCATCTTGGTCAGTAATCCCAAAACTTACCTCAATAATGTTCTTCTAATGATGCTGCACTGACCCCAGTGTCTGGAGCAGGGGCTGCCTGGAATTTAGTTTTCCTGACATAAAGCAAGGAGGAGGGAGTAAGTGATTCTCTCTGCATTATTTATACTATTAATTTGATAAGGAAATCCCTTCTTTATGTCTCGTTGTAGATTTATTTCCCACTGTTTGACATATCATTCTGCAGGTGGTGATAGCTAGTAAATCATCTAAACAGAGCATGAAAAACATTGCTTTTCTTCTCATGAAACTGAAGTGTGGAGCAATAGACATATAATAATGAGATATTACCATAAACTCACATGTTTTACTACTCTGCTATTTCTATTATTACCCAGTAAGACCCTTGCTATACAGTCTGGAGTTTGGTAAGTGCTAATACTGTGTTACAGTATTAAACCTACAGGCTGGTAGACTGCAGGAGCTGGGAGAAAATGTTTGGAATGAGGCCTCTGCCACAGATGGCATCTCTCAAAAAAGCAGTAATAAGTGAGCAAGGGATGTACAGTTTTCATGATGCATTGATACTGCAACAAAAGCTTGAGTTTTATTTGAATGCTGAGGAAAAATACCATGAGGAATGCTGTATGTTGTTACTGACTGGTTCTACTGCAGATTAACTGCTACTGGCAAATGGGAGAGTGGTTCACAGTAGGCTAGCAGAACATTTAAAGGCAGTCCTCAGCAGGAATGGCAACAAAGAAATATAGTCATATGTGACACCTGAGAGTACCTGAGCAACAGTTACTGATGTGACTCTGGGTAATTAACTCAATAGAAAGAAACAGAGATGAGAGTGTGCAAAATGGGCAGGGAAGACTGCAAAACTAGCCAGACTAAACTCTTCACAAAACCATTATCTCAAGTTCTCCTCCAAGAGCATTGCTTACACTGAGGAAAATGGTTCACTCTAAGTCTATTCATCTAGAGAGCTTATTGTAAGCTGCTTTGTGTCTTGTTTATTGAGGAAAAATGACATAAATATGGTGAATCTGAGCAGGATGAGACTAGAAGGATGCAAGGGACTTCCTGGTAAAGTACAACCTGTACATTGCCTACTATATTACTGTCATGAGGCATGCTATTGAAAGACTGCTTCAAATGAAGGAGACTCATCCAGGACCCCCTTCACCTGGGATCCATTTGACATAGAGAGTGTATTGCTAATACCATATAATGAGCTGTATAAGAGGAGGGGTGAGTTTCTGCCCCTTTCAGAGCTTTGCTCTTTGGCTTTTATTTTGTCCTCAGCTGATGTTTATTTTATGTAGAATGTGTTTGTGATACTGGAAGGTAGGCTCACGGAATGATCTCTGGCACAGCTGTGATTAAAACTTCTTTTAGGCAACAGCCTCATTCAAAGGCTACTCTCAAGGATCTTCACATACACTTTAGAGGTGAACAAAGAGACGTATAAAGTAAAGGTCTGACTGGCACCTCCCTGTGTTGATGTCTAGATAATTCTGACAGCAATTGAAGATCTCAGGCTGCAGCTGAAGACTGAATGTGTAGCTGCATGTGCTGGATGAAGAGTTGGTTTGGATGCTGTCAGCAGCTGCACAGCTGCTTCCTGATTTCCTCAGCTCCTAGCACAGGCTATGGTAATCACTATGAAATTGCTGCCTGAGCACTTCCCAGTATCACCTCGTTTTTTCTCAGTGTTTAGGCATGGTATAGCTGAGTGATCATCCCCTGAGGCAGTATAGCTGGCTACATTTCCCCAGAAATGCCAACCAAAAAAGCAAAAAAAAAAAAGCCCTAACCTAAAAATACACTGTGGTGACTCCTTCCCTTCCTGAATAAGGAGAGGTAAATTCCTACTTGAGAGCTATGGAGGAAACAAAAAGGCTAAACAGCCTCATGAGATCCTGGAAACCACACAAAAGTGCAACATGTGCATGAACTAAACACAACTGTTTAAAAAACTTGTCAGTCTAGTAAGCAGAAGCAAAATTTGGTCCCATTTTCCTGCCACCATCACCATCCAGAAATCACATAATGGCTAGAAACCAATTTCAGAACTACCAGCTGGTAGAAAGATGGTCTAGGACATACAGCAATATGACTAAGATTTCTAATTGGAAATACTGCATGAGGGTACTGTAGCTAGTAACAAATACTGCATTGAGTTTCCTCAGACAAAAAATACAGCTGGGGTAAGGCCAGTTCTGCACTACAGTTAATAGGCAATCCTATTCTCTAGGATAGCTTTTTCCCCGCTTTCTTGTTTTCCAGACTGTGCTGCCCTGTGCATCTAAGGACCAACTCCAACCTTTCCTGTCAAACACTCAAACATTATACAAAGTGACAGTTATATTCATAGAAAACCTAAGATTGCCCAATATTCCAAGGCTTTCACGCTCTGTAGCTAATGTGGGACTTCCCACATTTCAGACTGTCACTTAAGGATGAGATAGCTGAAATCTTCCAAACCTCCCAGGAGTGGGGTTACAGTTAGCTGTTACTGTCGTCCACATCTTCCTGTGACTACAGTTTGTGGATTCAGACAACATGCATTGTTTCTTAAAGAAAGATTGGCTTACAATTCATTCATTTTACATCTCAACAGATCTCACCTAAAGTCAAGATTCACTCCATGCTGCTATTACTTTTCTTTTTTTTTAGTAGACTTTTGTTAAATCCAGAGCAGTGCTGACCTGCAGAGCCCAGCTCCCCTTTAAGCAATGAGGTAGCAACAGTCTTTTCACTGGGATTGTAGAAGCATATTTCAGAAAGGCTTGTGTCTT